CCCAGGGAAGTGGTTGAGTCACCATCCCTGGAAGTATTTAAAAGACGTGTAGATGCGGCGCTTAGGGACATGGTTTAGTAGGCATGGTGGTATTGGGTTGATGGTTGGACTCGATGATCTCGGAGGTTTCTTCCAACCTTAATGATTCTATGATTCATCATTTGAGCCTCACTCCTCAGAATGCTCGCTGCAGGTTTGGGTTCTTTATCCTCACAATCCACCTGGAACTTTCTCTTTCAGATTTTATTGATTGTTTCAACTGATTTATATTATCTGAAGCTTTATCATTTTACCTACTTCAGTAGGTGGAGCATCTCTGTCAGGCACCCAGTGTTTCATCCACTGAGTGCCATTTTTAGCTCAAGGTCTCTTCTATAGAGGTGTGGTGTATTGCTTTAACTTAATTGACGTTGAAGTTCATTTCAATTAAACACATAGGGGAAAAAATATCCATAGAGGAATTTAAACTGATCTAGTGAAACCACTGCAAACTCTCACCTTTTATTTAAATCAGAGCAGAATTTTCCAGGAAAGTCCTCAATGTTACCCAGTGTCAGTTGTGCTGATCTAATCGCTAATCTAATTGTTACACAAATGCCCTTAAAACTCTGTGCAACAAAGAACTAGAACGAATACTTGAGTCCAGTACTAGTAGATTGCTTACATGAGTACTCTTCCATGCCCCTGATTTTACCTCCTTTTGCCACCTGAAGGCACTTGGGCAAATGAAGGAACTAAGAACTTAGAGGAGACAGGAGATTGCTGATCACGCAGAGCAATTGTGTTGGAGTTAAGAGATTTTACAAAGAAATTACAGTACTATATTGCTTTAATTGTGTTAATTATGTGAAAACAAAGAATGGAATTCTGGCATGCTGAAGTGAACAACAAAATGCTCGTTCATTTCAACTGAGCCAAGATTTCACCTGAAGGACTTTCTTCTTCCTGTAAGATACTCAGATCTATAAGTGACAAATTGCATATAAAAAAACATGGTAAGTAATAAACTTCACTATTAACTAGCCTTTAAAATAGCATATTTACCAGATCAAATAACTTTTTAACACACAGTATGCCTAGGTAGCACTTTATAGCCATCCTACCTTCTTTTCCTGTGCAGTGTTTGGAACTGTTAAAGTGTAGATTCCACTTGTTGTCAGTCCAGATTTGAAAGCTTCAGCACAGTCTTTGAAGCTGATTTGCTCCTCCTTAGCTATGAAGTTGTTCTTAGCTGCTAAAAATACAATAGAAATTGAAGGCATTAAGAGGAGATGGATAAAAGTTACTAAGAAGCAATCAATGCTGTAACCAGCTTAAAGCTTTGCAGTTCCGAAAAATATGCCCGGTCCTGAAAGAAATGAGAGATCAAGGTATTAATTATGTGTGTTGTTACTTTATATTATTTAGAGACGTTATTCTGATATGAGTGTGGTTGCCTGATAGATTGAAAAGTGATAACACATTAATATGTTAAATAAGAGAACTTAGGATATAGCATCTCATTCAGTTGAACAGTTTCTGCTTCCATTCATTGCCTTTGCTGGACTCTTACATGCATTACAACCTCTCCATACATTAACTACTATTAAAAACATATCTTACTAGCAACTGATTATATTAATAATGACCTTTGGCCAGTACTCTAAAATTGTGAAATCTAACATAAAAGTTATGAAATCTTTTATAATACAGCTGACTGGAATAACTACTCTTACAAAGTTTTAGCTTGCCCCTGTGCTGAGCAGGAACAACTTTGTATGTACCAAGCTGAAGCTTGGTAGCTCAGCTCAACCCACTAAGGAAACATCCCTTCTGGAATTCATTTGTGTAAAAAATACATTTTAATATGCCTAAGCCTTCTTGTTTTACAGAACAATCTAAGGCTCATCTTTTTGTTCAGTGGAGGCTGGAATTTCCTGGCATTTCGCCTGCTGACTGGTATTTCATATTTGACCCTTTTGGGGTTGGTTCTGTGTATTTTCCCTTTTAATTTAATCTAACAAGCACAGCCAGTTAGTACAGTTTTAGGTGCCATATAAATAGATGCTTATATTACAGTTGCTTATTATGTTCTTTTTAGCTTGCTTATTTGTTATTTACCAGTTTACATGCTTTGCCTTAAATATAAAAATAACACGTTCAGTGTTTTAATTGCTTTTCCACACTCTATTGTTTGTATACTGCCTTAGAAGCTTTCCCTGCTAATTTTGTCTTTTTGGCAAACATTCATTATTTTTTCCACTCTGGGTTTAACAGTGTTGTAGCCAACATGACTTTGACTTGTTTACTTATTTGTGC